TGCCCTCACATTTCTTAAACAACTTCAGTAGAGGTCTACATGCTTATTAGACTGTTGTGCATCAATTTCCATATAAGGTCTCACCATAAAGCCCAACTTCACATAGAAGTAACAAAATCTCAGTAAAGGAAAAAAGTAATACATATGTTCATACAGATTGCACATATATGTCAATACATTTGAAGTTAGTTATATACATAACATGTACTTAAAATATATTATGAATGATAATGACAGTGATCTAATATTATATAATGCCCTTCAGAGAAGTTTAAGTGACTTTTTATTCATATCTAGCTGCTGTTTTAGAGAAAAGAAAAAGAGCTACTGAGCTAAGCAGTATCTGTTGAGGGACTGGGTATCCAGTACTTTTACACTTCAGAAAGACTGGAATCTCTCAGCCTGATACATCTGTATTCATACACGCACACATGCATATATACATATATATATGTATATACACGAGACATAAGATCTGATTATCCTTAATAATTGAGAGTATTCTCTAAATGGCAATTTCGTTTAAACATCTAAAACAAGGAATAAAGCAGTTTTCAAAAAAGTTTATATACTTACCTATGATGAGACACACGGCTTCCATTCAAAGGCAAGAGCTCCCTCTAGATAACAGCCTGGGGAATTTTTCTAGCTTTCATTTTGAAGTGAACTTTGAAGAAAACAGAATTAAGTCAATGGATATGGGAAGAACCAAAGCACAGTTGGCACTCTTCTGAGAAACCCTGTAATCTGCCTCTGAGACTTATGTTTTGAAAGAATGAATGATTTGGGGGAATAAAAACAAATAAATCAGCACCTTCAGGATTTTGAAGTGATTTCTGTTGTATCACATTGAGTTATATAGGTCATCTCCCAAAACTCATAGTAGTATATCAGGATCTCCTGACTTCTTTTCACTTAGATTTCAATGCAAAATCAGATATGATCAGATTCCTCCCTCAGAATTTCTCTGTTATTAACACTGAAATGGTCAGGTTGGAAAGCTGTAATCAGCTTTGGGGTGACAGGTGCTGTATTGCAAGAAACTTAGGGACCAACAGGAATTAGAAGATTTACAAGAATCTGGCACAGAATATGGCCTGCGAGAGAAAATAGAAAAAATTGGCACTATTTTGTCTAAAGACACAGAGACTGAGAAGAAACTGGACAACAGTTTTCAAAGAGTAATGTGAAGAAGAAGATGACAATCTGTTTTCCATGTCATAGGATACTGGGTCAAAACTAACAGGTTTAAGTTACCTAGGGCAATAGTTTTGAGGCAACCTTTATTTGTTTAATTTGAGTTTAAAGACTTCCAACCATGTCGGGAATTGCTTAGATAAAGCTGCTTCTGCCTCAGTGAAAGGGAATGGTTTTCACAACATCATTTGGTGTCCCATCCTTCAGGACCTTACTGTAATGTAAGTACACACCCCCACCTCTTGTCCGTATTTCTGTTCACACCTCCACTTGGTTTACTGCTTTGCAACAACATGACATCCATTTTGAGGGTAAGCTAATGATTCACTACAACTTCTATATTCTCTCTTTAGAAATCCTACTTGGATGCAAAAGCATCAAGCAACTTGCTGATTATTCCTTTCTCTGCGTAGAATGTTGTATTCATTTCCAATGAATAATGGCTGTATCTTCTCCAGGATGTTGCCTGAAATTTTTAAGGGTCATGTTGAACTTTGTTTATGTCCTCCAGTGTGCTAGGAACCTCTCCCAGTTTGGCCTCACATGCAATTTTAGTAAGAAGATTCTCCATCTGTTAGACTTGTTCTCTTCCTGTTTTTCAGTACCTTCTCTATTCTCCAGGAAAACAGGATTGGAGATGTCAGCTAGTGTGCATGTAAAGTCTCAAGGAGAAGACCATAAGGCTCAATGAACTTTAAATCAGCAGATTCATCTAAGTGTTTTCTTGTTCTCTTACTTGCTCCTTCCCTATATGATACTGAAAGCTTGTTCTTTACCAGTGGCACGTATAAGACTTCTGATTGCATTTTTTGCTTTTTGGTGAAGATATGAAATAAAGTGTCAAACAACTTAAGCTGCTTAGACTTTCATTTGCTATCAATATAAAGCTACTCTTTTTCGGGAGTGGGGAGAGTATTTTTTATGACTACTATATGGCTATAAATATTATTTTTTACATGTGATGTTGTTTATTAGTTGCATTTCGGTTCACACAAATGTGAAAATTCCAGTGAACAGTTCAGTGCTGACATATTTTCCCAGTAAGCAGTAGTTTCCAGTAACCAATAAGACTGAGAAGAAATATTAATATCAAATTACAAGATGGTTTGAGGGAATTCTAGACAAACAAGAATTAAAGCATCCATCATCAATATTCTCACACAGTGATTTACATGTCTACATAAATGCATAGTGAATCTGAGCAAACAAAAGAAGTTTGTTTCTCCAGCAAAATGAGTTAGTTTCTAACCACTGCAAATATTCAGTGTTTTAAAATGAAACTGTGAGCTACATATTTATTAATCTGGCTTCATAATAGGTATTGTAACCATAGCACTAAGTGCAAGTTCAGTTCATCCTCTTTATAGAGTACTTTTGCAGCTCTTTCTATTAAAAGGTAAACTCTATGATAAGGCTGAGATTTCTGTTCATTTGCAGAAATAAAAAATCACTTTCCTGAATATTTTGTAGATATTTAAGTTAAAATGTTTTAATATTGCTGTCAAAAACTTTGCCCATTACAGCAATGATTGTCAACATTTTTCGGTGTCTATGGCCTTATTTGACAACAGAATTTGCCTGGGGGACACCACACCACACCCCCGCCAATTTAGTTATAGAGGAAAAGTTATAGCTGTAGAGGGTATTTTTGACCCTGTTTATGACCACCAGCAGACCTTAGTTTGAGAAACAGTTCACTGGGAATGTTCACTGAAAGTACTTAAATGAGGAAGGAAAAATATAATGTTCAAGTGAATGTTCGTATAACTTTTGGAGATGTTTTTCCAGCTTAAATACAGAGACCTGGCCACCTCTGTCTTGCACATAAGCAAACTGAACACATACACTAAGCCCTTAGCTGGTGAGAAGACCCTTGTTTGCCTAGCAAATAGTAAGGATTGGCAAAACACCCTGAGCAGGAGTATATCGTTCTGTTTAATAGACAGCGGGAGTGTACTGACATGCAAGCCAGCAATTACAATACAAAATATTCACGTGTCTGCCAAAGAATGATGTCAGTTCCAGGCTGTGGTGTTTGGTACATATCAAAATACTCTCGCTACTAGAAACAGAGGCACATATGTGTGAGCTGTATATGAATTTCCAAACTTAATAAGGCCACACACCTTGAAAGTGGATCATTTAATGGCCAGCATCAGAGCATACATTTATCTGCAGTGAGATTCTTTTTTAAATGTTACACGTAGGCTAAAGTGTGGCCTTTTTATTTGCTCTTATACACCTGGAAAAGATTAATGAGAATTTAGTTTTCCATTCTATAAAAGAAGTTCTATTTCATTAAGTAAGGAGCTTGAAAGCTTATATAGAATAGGGAATACTTCTAACAATCTAACTTTATTAATAGGACACATCTTTCTTGTTATGTACTGAGTTTAGGGGTCAGGGGAATTCCCTCTGCATCAATCATATGAGAAGATTAAAAGCTTTAAAAATATGAGGAACCATCAGGACATTGTTTCTGGAGGTTCCCCAAGAAACTACACCAAATTCTAACTGGGATTTTAAAAATTATGTGGGTATTTTTCTTCTTCCTAAGCAAGGCCACAGTTTTCATTTGCTCTTTCCTAAATTTTCTGAGTAAGACTGGCTCTTGTTATTCATATTTATGGCTCCTGAATGGATATCAGACCTTACTACCCAAAGATCTCCCAAATATGGTTTTGATACCACAAGTCCAAAACAAAGTCCACTTTAATCTTCGCAAATCTTTCAATGCATCTAAAGGGATTTTTAACCAGATGTGAAAAGCATACCAGTGTAGTCTCTTTGCAGGTAATTTCAGTTGTCTTGAAACTGGTTTCACAGCTTTGTGATTGAGAGATAACAGAATGGGGAGGTAGGAATCAGTTCATACAAAAGACAATGGGCTGTAGACATAAGACAAACACTAATCCAAAATGCAGCAACGTAGTGGAAAGTCATAATTGATTCTGAATAACTTCCTTTTCCTCCCACACATCCAGGAGCTGAGAAAATATTGCAGGAAAGATGAGAAAATTCACATCCATTTCACTTGAGTGTGGAGCCAAACCTTGGGAATCAGCTTTGCCTGTCTGCCCCTTGTCTCCCTCCTCCCAGTGGAAAAAAATGCTGTGACCATCTCCTCTGGAAAACTGGTGAGCATGAATCATTGTGCTGATGAATAATTCCCTTATTAAAACACTTCTAAATTGTTGCCAGCTTTGTGATTCTTTTACCACTGTGCCTCCAGCAATTCCTGTACCTGTGAGAGAGAGGGAAACAACTTTGTTGGATCTGCAGGTGACTTATACAAGAGTCAGTACTTCAGCTGGGAAAGTAAGATAGCCCATTTCTGAACAGCTTACTACCCCAGCTGGATAACTGTACAATAAAGAACAATGTCCTCCGAGAAAAGGAAACAGACTATCCCCCAGTCTGGCACAGACCAGCTTTCATAGAGGTTAAGCTCACCCACAGGTGTTATGGGAAAGAATAGGCTCTACCTTTCTTCTCCACCTGTCCTGGTTGTGTTTGTTCTCCTCACTGAAACATTGCACTAAACAGTGCAGTCACCTTCAGGTTGTCTTGTAAGTCACATAAAATTAAAATGTGGTTTTCAAACATGGGATAGTGAGACAAATTGTAAAAATAGCACTGGCACTTCTTAAAAGCTCTTGGCTGAGCATCTTTTTCCTAAAAGACTTCGTAGGCAATTACACTGTGGAGCTAAGTATGGAAATACCCACAATAGCGGTTACAGCTGTGCAAGTCCATCTGAATCCGGTTCACACGGAAATCTGCTGACTTTCTTATTGATGAGCTCCATTCACACGCTTCAAGGAAAAACTGAGTAAACAGTGACCTCTAGGTGAAGAGTCACCTAGTCCTGACCATTGCCATGACATCCTTTATGCATGATCCTGCAAGGGAATAGGAGGGCTGGGGTTCAAACAAAATAGGGAAGGGGAAATCAGTGAAAACTTTTTGATCAGCTTCTAAGAAAATATTTGAGCAGCAATTGACCCCTAGGTTTGCATTTGAGATGTGCAGTGATACAGCTCATTGGGACACGACGAAACTGACACCTCTTAATAGAAGCTGAGCTGCTAAAAGTTGGTGAAGGTCATGCAGATTTTCCAAAGGAACTTTTGTTCTTTCTCAGGAAAAGGAACATCCTTTCAATCCTGAGAATCCTCATTATGCTGTACCTACATCCAACATCCTCTATTCATACAAAATGCCAAAGTGGGGAAAGGCTACAGCTATACTAGGAAATTAAACTATATCAGGGGATATTCCTAGGCATTGGTAATGTGGTAATTGTGTACTTAAACTGCAAAAGGAGTATCTGGCTTTCAGCCTATGGTGGCTAGCACTTTCCCAAATGACTCCTGGGCATGGTTCAGGCAGGGCACATGCAGCCACCCCATTTTGAAGGCTCAAAGAGATTAGCTTTTTCCATTTCAGAAAAGACAGTGTATGGAATACAGTATATGAAGCTGAGGTCTGAGTAGTCACCTAAGAACTTTATTCCCTCCTGCAATTTCGTGTTTCATTCAAATATACCCATGATCGTAAATCCAGTATTATTGTCTTCGTATAACAGATGGGAAATTGATAATCTAAAAGCCAGATTATCAGAAAGCATTTCAACACTGAAATAGCCTTGTAAATCTATTGGACTTGCCAAGACTATACAGGAAGGAAACTGAAGGAGAAGGTTATTGAAAACAGATCTCCTGAGTCCTTTACTGGCACTACTGTCAATGGGCCATCCTTCCTTCCCTTCAGTGGAACAGTTTATATGCTGTGTAGAAGTTTATAATATGCACATACTCTGAGGTCACTACAAACAAATGAAATGAGACAATTCTAGTAACAAGTATGAAGAGGTGTGCTTTTGAAAAATACTTTTTTCTGGTTTATTATACTAATTCATAATGGGAATCAGAACACAGGCTATTTAGACCACTTTCTATAGAATGGCAGTAAAGATATTTGGGTTTGTACAGCTAAGGCAAATAACAATGATAATTGATGAAATACTTTGTTAATCTGTTGGCATGTAACTAATTGCTGGGACAGTTCAGCAGGAGATGATGTTTGAAATATTGTCCCAGCACATACCAAATGTCCTACTTTCACATAATGGAAAAGAAAAATGCAGGTTTAGCAAAGTATAATATCTCTCAGATTATCTCAGCTCTACAAAAGGCAAAGGTTAATGATGGATGCCTGTAAAAACATGCAGCAGACTATTCAGCATTCCCAAACTTTCAGGCAATGACAATTTATAGTGAGTTAGAGAGACCACATAGAACATGAGAGTTTTTTTCTTTAACTGAACACTGATCTTCTGGCTTTGGAGATCTGGATCCGTCTCTCTAAGGAAATCTGTATTGGCATCAAGAGGAGGAATTAATTGGTTAATATAATTTTTTTATTGACTGCATTTAGTTTAGGAGTGGTACAAAATCACACCCCTATGCAACAGCTACTCCTAGGACAGGACTTGCAGAACAGCAAGCTGAGCTTTACTCAGCTTTGGGATCACATAAGATAGCATATATTTAAGTTTCATTGCTTATTCAGCAAAATAAGAATATTAGGAAAACTAACTTTTGTCCAAAGAAGTATAGAGCCAATACACCTAAGGATTCAGTGTTTACAATCCTAATTCCACATATATCAGGGAAAATGCCTAGGTAATTCCCAGTATGTACTACAATTTCATGGTAAATTGCTATTGACCCTGCCTACTCATCAAGATTGCTACATCCCAATGAATATTTCCTATTTCCTGATAGGTTTAACTTGAAATCTTAATAATTTCAGATTATAATTCAGTATCTCAACAGAGGCGGCAGAGTATACTTGTTGAAAACTGTGTATAACAACAAATATGTAAGAGGCGTGCTAATTTTTAATTAGCTAGTAGACAGATCTACCAAATTTACCAGGCATGTGGGGTTTATGTCTAAACAGCAAAGACAACGTAAAGAAATTTTAAGCCTTTCCAAAAGACTGAAAAATTTAAATTCAAAATGAAGGACAAATTCAAATGAGGACACTTACCACTTCATTTGACCAAAAGAAATTGGTGGTGGACAGTTCAACAGACACAGCTATGCATGTAGATCACTCTCTCCATGACAAGACTAACTGTAACCACAAGGAGATATAATGTATAGACTCAAACACAGAAGTAATTTTTTTCCTAAAACTATGCAAAAAGAAAAGTCCTGCTCAAACATATAGCACAGTATAAAGTTTTATGAATGAAACAAAGTGATTGCTATAGAGAGATAGGCTAGACAAGAAAGGAGAAGATATTTTTCTTAATTTCCCCTCTCAGTTTTGCCCCCAAGTTTTACTAGTGCTAAACTTTCCTGTCTCAGAAGATATGTGCTTTGAAAGTCCCTCTCTCCCTCCTGCCCAACACAGAAGTAAAACATGTATTTAAATTGAGAATAAAATTCCTGTGGATTTCAGAGGTTGCTGACTCTATTTAAGTTAACAGCTGGTGAATAACATGGTGGCTGTCACATCTTGATAATCGCAGCTACTTTATTAAGTGAGACTTTTACAGTTACATTAAATTTTATAGTTTATGACTTGATTAATCCTCTAGAATTCTTATCAGATGGTCTATCTTATTTTCTATCAGAGTACATTGTATTTCAGCATCTAAACCTTTATTATCCAGGTTTCTGCACCACTCAAAATTTAGTCATATCAATACAAGACAGTTGTGGAATTTTACTCCACGGGATTCAAACTCCTAACACTTCTGGTGCTCTAGTCCCTCATTTCACAATTGTAACAGCCTGTGATTCTCCTGGTGGGTTATAGATTCTGTTAGTTCTGGGGGTATTTTTGTTAGGATGAAAGATTCTTCAAAATTAATATTTAAAATAGCATTGGCTATTTTTATTATATCAATTCTGAAGTGTTTAACCAGTTAATTTTAATATCTCTTCCTAAATTGCATTTTTCATTATTCCTGCTATCTTCCTAGTATAACATTATTTATGCTAAATAATATTTACTTAAAGCATTGCCACTAGGTAGCTTGCAAACATGGACAGAACGTTTGATATTAATCTCACTTGAATTTAAAAAATAAGGGCTTATATAAAATGGTCACTTATGTAATATTAGATGAATCCAGGAGCCTTTTCCAAGAACTCTATAGACAAACAGATTTATAAGGTGAAAACTGGAAAGTACAATGCACCTCCTACAGCCAAAAATTCTATCTCAAACCAGATGGATGCAGGAACCACATTCATAAGCCAATAATCTTTTTATTGCCATAGTTAAGACTTGTGTCTCCCCAATTTACAGTCGAGAGCTAGTTTGCTGGGCCACAGAATTGCAATGCTCTATTTTGGTCCCCTCCCACTTATTTTTGATTTTAGATGCCCTTATGGTTCCATCACTGCTATTATATCCAACTGCTTGGACTATTATTTTGGTTTCTGCTATAGCTGTGACTTATTAGTCCTGGCTACAAGCCATGAAGTGATGGAAAATGCAGAGGTGGCACATTTTGATATTGCTTGTATCGTTGAGTAGACTTCCTGTGGGCCAGATGCCTTGGGAGCTGGTAGCAACAATTGTGGTTTTTTTAAGGAAAATGCTGTGTTAATATTGCTGTCTTAAAGATTTTCCCTATTGTCATCCATACAATGTTTGACCTTTATATATGTAAATTTACAGAAATAATACACTTGTCAGTTTATATCTTTAGTATACATGAATTCTGGCTAAATACTATGTTTCTTTTACTTTTCTTTCTAACTTCCATACAAGTTCAAAGTCTCAACTGCAGATATTTATTATTTCCAGTCTGCTATTTTTATGGCTAAACTGATCTCTCCACTGATCCCCCTCAATGGACAAATCAATATAACCATAAAAACAAAAGATCAAATTTGAAGATTGAATAGCAATTGAATCAGACATTTGAATACTGAAAGAATTCATTAACTGATTCATAGTGTCTTCAAATGTACAGATTACAAAATCAAAACTTTATGATTTCACTCATATCTTTTAATTCATATGAATAGCTAATCATATTACACATTCTTGGATGCACAGCAACTCTTATTGAACAGCCTTTCTGAAACATCTGGGCACTAATTCAGAAACATGATATTAAAAGTCTTGAACTAGATTTCATGTAGAGAATTCAGGGTTTTTTTAATGCCTATTATCTTTCATCTTTTGAATTGATATTGAATTGGTATTAATAAACATATTAGCCTCTTTTGAAGGATTTTCCATTATTTTTTCCTTCCTTTCCTTCACACAATGGAGAAGAGTTGAGGTTGAAAGGCATCTCTGGAGGTGCTCAAGAAGGTTTGACCAGAGCAGGTTGCCTGGGGCTGTGTCCAGGCTGGTTTTGAATATCTCCATGAATGAGGACTGCACTATCTTTCTGGGCAACCTCTTCCAGTGTTTTTCCACTGCCATAGTAAAAAGGCGTTTGTTTGTGTTCAGAGGGAATTTCATGTGCTTGAATTTGTGTCCATTGCCTCTTGTCTGTCTCTGGCATTCCTGAGAAGTCTGACTCCCTCCTCTTCATTGCCCACCACTCAGTGTTTATACACATGTATAATATCCTCCTGAACCTTCTCTGCTTCAGGCTGAACATTCACAGCTCCCGCAGCTTCTCCTCTTAAGAAAGATGCTCCACTCCCTTAGTCATCTTTGTGGCTCTTTGCTAGGCTTGCTCCATTAAGTCCATGTCTTTATTGTTCTGGGGAGCCCAGAACTGAACACAGCACTCCAGATGAGTCATACCGTACATGACATTTTGCTGTAGTCTACCAAAATCTCTGCACTGGGACAAACACAATAAACAGTTCTTTTCACCATGGAAAGAATTCTGTTGACAGCAGTTCCTGTTTCTGATAAGGTTATTGCTATTCTTTGTCTACCTGTGGAACCAACACTCTTGACTAGATCACTGATACTTAGAGGGAGAATCACAAAAAGAGTTTTAATTTAGTACATATACATTCTAATTCCTTTCCTCATCAGGATCCCAGTGTTCAATTCTCAACTTGCAAGTGTAGGTAAAATATGCTTTTATCTATAGAAAAATAGGGTGTAGTCTGGAGAAGCTGAATAATTCACTGATGATCAGTCTTGGCTACGGTGATGAATATTTATCGTTTTCCTTTAATAACTGTGTTTAAAGAATCTCCTTCTTGCTTTTGATGATTTATATCTAAAAAGGACTCAGCCGTTTTCATTTCTCTTATTAATGATGGACAACAATTGTTTGAAATATTTTCCTACTGCTGCCTGGAGTTTTAGTCTGTTCTGAGATTATAGGCACCTGTTCATACACCTCCAACAAAATTCCCCATTTCTCAGTGGGAGTTTTCAGATGACTAAAATAAATACCGGTGAATCAGAGTTTTGATCAATCTGTACAGTTTCTGGTATACTCAGTCTATACAGGAAGCATTTTTATTGTATAGAAGCTGACATTTAAGTCATGTCTTTCCAGAATTCATTGTTGCACTTTGATGCTTCTAATTCTCAGTTTATACAGTTGTTAACTTAGCTTATTTTCTAGAGAGAGAAAAACATTTCATATGGCCATCAAGGCTACATAATTGCAGCTTTCCCCTCTGTAGAATATTAGGGCTGGTTTTGACAGTGCATGTCCCTCCTATGCCATTTTAAAATCCTCATAGATATATAGTTCCCTCCCAGAGTCTGTATTCTAAACCCAGAACTAAAACTCCATCTTCTTTGCTAATATCTTATTTTCTTCTCAGCAGAGACAATCATCTTTCCAAAACATAAATACAGGAGCAAAATAAGAAAGATCCCTGGCCATCAGATATTTCCACAATTTTATCCTCTTAGGTACTGGCAAATAAAGAACACTATGCAAGGAAATACTTCAGGAGTTTTGAAAAGTTTCCATAAAACCAGTCAGAGCTAGCGAAAAACACTAGTGTACAGGTAGGCCTTGCATGCTCTCATATCTATTGTAAACATGATTACACAGAGTAAGGGCATATTGGTTTATTAACTTTTTAAAATTAAACATTAATAAACTTCAGAAAAGATCTTTGAATTTATCATGGGAAATAACTGCTCTTTTGGAGTCTGCATGGTTTTAGAGCTCATTACCACCCGGTATTAATGAAGGAAGTTCTGCTCAAATTTTTAGTTAGGGTTTTTTTAGTTTCTTTTTTACACTAAAAAGATGTGCACCTCCTAATGTCAAGCACTCTGGCTCTTATTCAAGGAGGTTCTTAAATATCTACTTTGTTTTAAGTAGGTACTTACACGCTTTCTCAAATAGGACACTTTCCGAAAGGATTAAACACATGCCAAAATAAAGCTAGTCATTTGTAAGCTAGAATAATGTATTTGGTTTAACTTTTCAGTAGAGTACATGGAATGAATAGAACACTTTTCTTTTTTTGGCATGCAAAGACCAACTCAAGTTCCACAGCTAAACACCTGAGGACAGAGCTGCTTTGTTTTTTCCATCAGACATTTTTCCCAAGAGATTTTTCTGGACATTCCTCATCTCTTACTTTGTTACACCAGCATAGCTACAGTCAAAACTTCCTATAGACTGATTGACTTGTTCCCCCAAATATGCATTCTTTCATGCCACTGTGAATCCAAAGCCATGGTAGGCATGGTTTTTAGCTGCATATCCAGAACTATAAGTATGAAGTGAGGAGAGGATGATGAAAGAGCTAGATTTTGATAAAGGGGAATGATGATTGTTATTCTCAGTCTTCACAGGCTGTTTTTTCCAGATTCCACCAGGGAACACTGAGCGCCTGCCAGGGCTAATCAGATCCTATTAGGTTGACACTGGATACCTCTGCACTTCTTTGCTAGCTGGACTTCTTACTATTTAAAGCTCTTCAATGAGTTCAGAGCAAGAATGGAACAGTATAAAGTATTCAATCTCCATATAACTTTTACCTCTTTCTTTGCAGTCATGGAAATTTTTGTTCTAAGTGGCTGCTGCGAAGGCAACATTTCATTTGTGATCTTTCTTTAAACTATAAATAGGCTCAGTAAAATGTTTTCAGATCTGCTTTGCCTATTCTTGACTGGTGGCTGCCCACAAATAATAGAAATCCATATGCATTCTTGAAACTCTATGCAATGATTCTGTAGGTAAATATTGAATCAGTAAGATCAATATCTTACTTCAGACAGTTAAAAAAAAAAAAAAGAGTCTCCTATTAACCTCAGTGGCCATGACTGGAAGTTACTTGTTTGACTGTGTAAATAAAATAAAAATTAAGAAGATCATGCACAATTATACCACTAAATATACATAGCTTTAATCACTGCTCTGACTAAAGGTAGCTGAGCCCAAAGAAACAACACTGCTCTTCTACTGTTCATCTACAGAAGTTACTCTGAGCTGTAATTTAGTAGGCATCTAATCAGAGTAATTTTAATTCTACATTTCAAAACAATAGTGTATACCAACCTTCAAGTGTTGCACGTTTTAATGATTAAGAAGTTTAATAACATGTTATGAGTTTCCACTCCAATTTTTATTTTCTTAACTTTTTGTCCTAATTTTCACTTTTTAATATCCTTACAGGACATCATCTTTAAAAAAAAATTGAAAACAAGTTGGAAAAATAAAGGAAGGAAGAAAAAAGAATCCCTTCAGATGAAAATCTCTTGCAAACTCTTGCAAAACCAAAATGCAGAGAAATCATAGCAATGAAATTTTGCCATAATTCCTTACTAATTTTTTCATGATTATTAACCACCTGCTTTAGCTTCTTATATTTCAATAAAGTTAATTTATTTTGCCAATAGTTTCATGAATTTTCATAATTTAAAATAATTCTCTTTTAGGAAGACTTAGTCCATGGGGTGCCTTAACTGCCGCTAATAAAGAAATGCTTAGCAAAAAGTGAAGTTTATTTGGGATATCTTCTTTCTAAGTATTTACCAGAGCACAATTTCAACATCTCACAAAAAAGAAACTCAAGCTAAAATGAGATTTTGCATAAGGTTTTCATCTTCCTTCACCGCTGCCATGTACTGAGCTATGTCACATTCTTGCTGTGAGGCTTATATTCATAGGCTCTTGCAAAGAAGACTTGATTGACTTCAAGGCAGCAAGAGAAGCAAACGTTATCCAAATAGTTTTATTTGTTGGACATAAAGAGAAAGGAACAGCATGCATCATTCAAAAAATATGTTTAAATTCTCTCATAAGACCTTTTAAATTACAGTTAATAAATGCTCCAAATTCTACCCTCCTTCAATAAAAAACCTATGTCAGTCTTACACACAAAATGTGTACGTGGAAAGTATATGTTTTCGTTATTTTGATCCCCACATGATCCACCCATAACTTGTTTTAGAATAGTATGTGAGAAAAAAACCACACCTCTATATATTTTTGTATGGAAATGTACAGCTTCATTGTCCTTTGAGAAGGGTAAAAGATTTTAAATTGTGAAAGTTGCCACATGCAAATACCTAAAACAAATTCCCCTGATTTTTTTTTCTTTTTTTTAAATTTTTATGTTATGTCCTGATAGCTTCAAAATTCATGCATGCTATTAGGCCCTTCCCTTCATTTTATAAAAGATTCTAGTAGCTGAATGCATGAGGCAGAGAAGTAACAGGCGAAAATGCACACTAAGAAAGTGGAGAAGAGCTTTTGCCATTTCCAGGTTCTCCTTATTGTGGCACAATAAAATCTTAAGGACTCTATATTTGAAGAACTACAAGAATTTGGAAACATAATACAATCTTCGTTAAAAGAAATGTGATATTCAGAAGAAGTCAAAAATGCCTGAATTCTCTTAAACTGAAAACTGCTAAATTCTGAAAACTGTTAAATTCTGTCCTAATACTTTCCTATACATCGACTAAAATACATAAAATCTATGTCTGGAGAGATGACTTTTACTACATTAAAAAATTTTCATTTGAATTATTTTAGTGATACACTGACGTATCAAAAATGCATCAAGCTGTGATCAGGAAGAGTTAGCAAAGTACATTGTAAGAAAGGTAGGAACATCTGGTAGGAAAATTCCCTTAAATACAACTTTGAATAGGAAAGAAACTTACTTTGCAGCCTTGGATTTTACATGCCACGGTCTTTTTTGTCTTAGAAACCATCCTTGCAACACCTTTGGAAAGCTGCATGAACACCAACAGAAAAGACAGATCGTATTACTGCAATTTCCAAATTCAGCTCTTCATGATCATATGTGGCCATTACCTTGTGATGGCAGCCTGGGAGGAAGGACTATGCTTTCAGAATCCTAGTACTCCCTAAGAAGAAGAAATAGGGCCAACTCACTAAGCTCGTCATGCAGAAAAAAACATACATTTTTTTCCCTAAGAAAGTCGTAAAATGCAGTTATTCTCTGACAGTAAGACTACACATGAACACTAGAGTTAGGAGATGGAGTTACTGATCATAAGTGGCTCATCTCATGTGGGATGAGCACTATCTGGCAAGCCTTCCCCCTCAGGGCACACCTTGAGGGAGCACAGTTTCTGCCCCTGTGTTGCTCCTGAAGTTGACAGGCACCAGTCCTTCCCAGTTTCCCAGGCCTGTGTTGAGATTCCAGATACTTCTCCACCTTCCACAGAGGTCCTGCGTCTCCTGGTTTGAATGGTGTTTGTTTAGGGGGAGCTGCCCATGTTTCTTACCATTTTTCCCTTCCTTGCGATGTTGTTGATGTAATCTGATTCTTCCAAGGTGGGGCTTGTGAACGCTGTGACACTGGCATTCCCAAACTAGACCCCGAAGTTGCACACCGTATGATACTAAAAAGATAGAGGATGGAGTCACATCAAAGGCTCAGAAAGTCCCCACTCTTTCAGGTAACCTCTGCTAAATTTGGCATATAGGAGACCACCTCCAAAGACTCGACTAGCTGAGGATTATTAAACTGTGTGCGATCCCTGTTATCACAACTGCCTTAACACGTACATGTCAGAGTGTATATAAAGTGTATATACAAAGTGTGTATAAAAAGCTGTCCCTATAGTGGCTGCAGTAATCCATAACCAGGGAAGATGTAAGAACAATGCCGGAGAGGGGACATAATTGTTAGGATGCTACCTTTGAAGGATCAGGATCCCAACAGGACAGAACTGGGAATCCTACAGCACATTTTTTCTCTGCAGCATCATGCTACTGCACTTTGCTGTTGTGTTTGCTGGGGAAAGAAGACAGAGCAACAAGTGCCTGGGGAGAGCGCAGTATGGAAAAGGAGAAATAAACGAGTGCTTTAGATCACAACATACACAGCAAATAAAGCAAAGAAGTTATTTTAAAACACATCTTAGTTGGGAAACAAAGAAACTGCAATAACTGGAGAAATTCTGAGTACCTTTTTGCTTGAAATTTATTCTTAGGTGCTTTTTCAAGATAATTTATGCTATGGAGAACAGCTATGCACTAGAAAAGAAAATGAACTGACAATTGCTTCCTTTTCTAACATTGGTAGGGATACAGTTTTTCCCAATTCATAACAGTTAATGCAGCTGTTCATATAGCTTCACTTCACATTTGTTAAAAGTTGGGAACTTCTTCAGCTTTCTCACAGTTTAGTTAGAACACTATTAACCTTGCTAATGATGATACTGCAATTACAAATGCACGATTATCAGAAACCTTTTTTTTTGTTTTTTTGTGAGGGCAATTCAGATTGCCTAAAACTCACTCTGGAAGCTCTCAAGCAGCAACTGAATATTATCTCTTTATATGTTTGTTACTTGTTTCCCCAAGACCCTTATTATTTAAGTATAAACTTCAATAACCAGCTCCATGCCGAAGAGCCTTCTTGGTTACTACAGGACACATCTCTCTATAACTATGATGCCAGCCCTCCACATAGGTAACAAGCAACTTCCCTGTGCATACTTCAGGGAATTTGCTGCTGAAGTTAAAGAACCTCTGAAGGTGCCCCAAGATCCTATAAATCTACAGATTACTGAGACCTGTAAATTAGGAATGCCTAATCATAACACGGTAGTTGGAGGTCCAGTCACCTTGAATCACACTAAGTCAGCCTATTATCAAGACAAAACGCAAACAAGCCCTATTTCTGTACAGAAAATATCTACATACATTTATAATTTATAATAGCCAAATGCAAACAGTAAGAGAAAAACAGGCTTAATCAACTTACATTGAATTGTATTAGAAACATCCCCTGTCCATTTCGTTTGCCATCTTGACAAGGCAGATATTGAACATTCAGTTTTCATATATACCTTCCTCCTCAGATTGCACTCATTAAAGAAACTATCAAAGAACCTCTCATCTGGGTGGAGCATATTCATGCCTTGAATTGGGTTTTCTCTAGAGGATTCAGGCAGAGTTGAAATTTTTCCCTGGAAATCATTCTATTTCCTTTTATGCAAGCTGAGCTATTTTCCAAATTACGATACGCCTCGTTTCATTTCCTCATCTAAGCAAAACATCACTTTGTTACACCAACCACCATCTCCTGTACTCAAATAGCTAATTAGCAATGTTGTAGGAGTAAAACTATTATTTTCCCACTCCACTTCAGTAACCCAAAGATGGTGGTTACCACATTCCATTGTAAAGTGCTTTTTGCAGTAGTCATTATATTATATATTGATCTGTATATTAATAAATGTATTTTTTACATTATTTAAGCAGGATTCCTCTGAGGTCCAAGATAGAGAGGCATTTGTGAGTCTAAGGAAATGAAACAAAGTTTATTTTGATCACTAATTTTAAGGCAGCTGCAGTTTTTAATTTTGCATCTGCTGTGGGTGTGATGGGAGAAATCCTTCAAATTCAAGATGAGGAAAAGAAATACTCAGGTAATATTTGCCTGCACAAAAAGTAATGCTTACTGTTAGAATTCTTTGCAACACTCCACACCTATTAAAGGATAAGTCTGTCAAAGTTGCTTCTAGACTCCACGGTCAGTGTGTTACATATTCAACAAAGACCTTTGCGCATCTTCCCACATTTCGCCTTGTGATTGGGAAGAATTTTCTCCAAACTTTGACAAAGTTGCCCAAGTATTCTGCAGAAGTTTATGCAGAATCCACTACCCATATTTGACCCTATCTTGTTATTTGATGTGCCAAGAGTATTGCTGACCATTGGCCTTCTTCTAAATTACTTTCTTGGTATATTTGTCTATCACAATTTTTATAATTGATTTGAAAACTATCAGAGGACATGGGTTGTTTTTGGGTGGGTGGTGTTTTCCACCTGTATTTATACAGCACTAGCAGAAACTGATAATTAGGGATTAGGGCTTCTAGACATTTGAGTAATAATAGCTACTTCTGCTTTACTGTTTAAAAAATCTAATGAAAGATTAGAGGACATCAATACTAACACTGCCAGACAGATACTGGCAAGCTTTCTGACATAGGTGCTTTCTACCATATTAAGTTTCAATCATATGCGTATGGTCATTCAAATAGCAACAAATCTTTAGGGCAAAGTGCTGTCAGGTGCTGTGCCTTCTGCCCTGGGGGTCCTCCACGTCTGAGCTGGAATGGGTCTGAGCACTGCTTTTTGGATGCCACAAAAAATTAAGCAGAAGTGGGAAGGAAGACATGCTCTGGATGTCTTCAGGAATTTTAGGAACCACCTCCACACCAACCACATCTTGCAGGGACTGCACTGGTCTCTGTAAGCTATGTGAAGCTAGATATCAAAAAACATCAGGGAAATAGAATCATAGAATCATAGAATCATAGAATGGTTAGGGTTGGAAGGGACCTCAAAGATCATGAGTTCCAACCCCCCTGCCATGGGCAGGGACACCTCCCACGAGAGCAGATTGCTCAAGGCCCCATCCAGCCTGGCCTTGAACACCTCCAGGGATGGGGCATCCACAACTTCCCTGGGCAACCTGTTCCAGTGTCTTACCACCCTCATAGTAAAAAATTTCTTCCTGAGATCTAATCTGAATCTTTTTTCTTCCAATTTAAAACCGTTTCCCCTTGTCCTGTCATTACCCTTCCTGGCAGAGTCCCTTCCCAGCTCTTCTATAGGCACCCTTCAGATATTGAAAGGCCACTATAAGGTCTCCCCGGAGCCTCCTCTTCTCCGGGCTGAACAATCCCAGCTCCCTCAGCCTGTCTTCATAGGAGAGGTGCTCCATCCCTCTGATCATCTTCGTGGCCCTCTGCTGCACCTCTTCCAGCTGGTCCATGTCCTTTCTGTGTTGAGGACT